TTGACACTTCTCAAGATTGGGTCTCAGCTTCAAGGCAGAGCTCTGATTATTACTCAGGATTTCACATTTGATCATGTCATCGTTATTATATTGGAAGTTTAAATTTCTGAACATAATTTTGACAGAGTCCTGTCCATGGAGGTGGGGGCCAGGGCTGGAACTGATGAGAGATTCTTGTGATGATGTCTTGTCTGCTCTGGTCTAGTGATCTACAGTGGCGCCTTCTTTGAGGAATAAAATCACAATACATTTCAAAAGAGCCCTGAGGACAAGTGGCAACCTCAGCAGAGATGTCAAGATTGGAAGGGAAGTGGTGATTAAAAATGGAGTAGCGGTGAGGAACTTGCTGATGATTTCAAACTATGGAGATGTTGAAAAAAAATAGAATCAGGCAACCAAAAAAAGGAAAAAAGGCAGAGGGGAGTGATTTAGTGAGCAGAGTGTGGGAACTGGACTTGAGACATGTTCTTGAAGGGCGGATTGTCCTTTCTCTGTGATTTCCGTTTCCCCATCAGTAACATGGAGGTGATGTATTTCCCCTATCCTTAAGCTTAGTTCATTCACATTTGCAAAGTCCTTTGAAACCCGAATGTGGGCAGTTCAGATGCACTGGTGTTTGTTTTATTTTATTCACCAAAATGAAACATTTGTCTGCAGTCTCTCCTATATCCCAGTGAAAGGCAAGAGGGATGTGAAAGCCAAAGGCAGTGGGTATAATATAAAAGAGGTGGGGGAGGCACAGTCTAAGAAGCAATTGGCCTGAAGCGAAAGTGTAAATTTAGAGATGATATAAGGAGAACTTTTGTATGGGTGAGAACTATTGAACTGTAGAAAAGCTGCCAAGAGAAAGGGGTTGAGGCAGCGTTAGTAGAAACATCCATCAGCAGGTCAGAAAACTCTCTCAAAAAAACAACGCATCAGATGTGATACTTTTAAAACCTTTCTTTCTTGTTTCAAAGTACAGTACATAAGAAGAAAGAACAGTAAATAAAATTAAATGGTCTGTTCATCTAGGCTATGTCTACACTGCAGCTCTTTTCTGGGATACCAGAGGTATTCTGGAAAAGCTATGCCGCATCCAAGGAACACGTCTGCTTTTCCGAAAAATTTTTTTCAGAAAAGCGGACATATTCTTTCGCCATCCCTGAAAACCTCGTGGTATGAGGAAGACGTGATCTGCTGAAAGAGGAGGTTTTTCCCAAATTTGGCGCTGAGTAGCTGTGCCAAATTTTGGAAAAGCCTCTTCTGAAAGAAAAGCAAAAAAAGGTACGCAAATTGCAGTTTGCAAATTGTGTGTCTTTTTCCGATTTTTCTTTGTAGTGTAGACACAGCCCTAGTGTCTACATACAGATGTATGGTAGAAACAGAAATAAGAGGGAAATAATATTAGCATGTAAAAATAATAAATAGCTCTTATATATTGCTTTTCATCTGTTGATGTCAAAGCACTTAAGACAGTATCATTTGTCCCATTTTACAGATGGGGAAACTGAGGCACAGAGCGGGGCGATGGCTTTGCCAAGGACACAACAGCTAGCTTGTGGCAGAGCTGGGACTAGAACCCAGGATTCCTGAGTCCCACTCCAGGGCTGTCCCCCTTAGTGCATCAGTTTTTAAACTTGGGTTGCAGGCCTGCCTGGGTAGGCTGCTAGTGGGCCTTCATGCAGGGCCAGTCCACAACATTTTGGCATCTGAGGCGGGGAGCTCAAATGACCCCCCCATGCCACCTTTTCTCCTCCTTGCCTGTTATGTCTCTTGTGCCCTCCTTCCTCCAGCACAGCACTCCACCATCTCTTGCATCTAGAGCAGAGATAATACATATGCACCAGCAGCAGACACACATTTCTACACTCTGGGTCCTAGTAGCGCCCTCCTCCCCGCACAGTCTGGCACCTGAGGCGTTCGCCTCATGGTAAGGCCAGCCCTGCTGCAACGCCTTGTTTATTCAAGTGTCTTTAGTCTTGAAGCCTCACAGCTCCCGTTGGTTGTGGGTGCCATTTCCACAAAGTGATGTGACTATGGATGCTTGAATAAACAAAGTGTTGAGGCCTGCCATGGCTTACCCCGATGGGCCTGCGACCCAAGTTTGAAAACCGGTGCCTTAGTGTCCTGCCTCTGAGGATCTCAAATTACTCTACAAATGATGAATTTTCACTATATAGCAGCTTACGGGATGGGTAACTGCCACCAGGTGGATGAGAGACCCTGGGGAAGATGGAACCCTTGGTTCTTCTGCCTACATTTTCCCCAAATTAGCAGTAACAGAGACAATGGAAAATGTAAACATTCACTGAATAAACCCAGAAATGCTGCTTTTTCTAAAAGAAGAAAGGCAGAACAGGAACTAATGGCTGCAAGTCAAAGAATCATAGAATACTAGAACTGGAAGGGACTTTGAGAGGTCAAGTCCAGTCCCCCATTCTCATGGCAAGACCAAGCACCGTCTATCCAACCTGCTCTTAAATATCTCCAGTGATGGATAATCCACAACCTCCCTAGGCAATTTATTCCAGTGTTTAACCACCCTGACAGTTTGGAAGTTTTTCCTGATATCCAACCTAAACCTCCTTTGCTGCAAATTAAGCTCTTTGATTCTTGTCCTATCCTCAGAGGCCCAGGAGAACAATTTTTCTCCCTCCTCCTTGGAACACCCTTTTTAAATACTTGAAAACCGCTATCATGTCTCCTCTCAGTCTTCTCTTTTCTAAACGAAACAAACCCAGTTATTCCAGTCTTTCCTCATAGGTCATGTTTTCTAGAGCTTTAATCATTTTTGTTGCTCTTCTCTGGACCTTCTCCAGTTTCTCCACATCTTTCTTAAAATGTGGTGCCCAGAACTGGACACAATACTCTAATTGAGGCCTAATCAGTACTAGGGATGTGAACGATTAATCAGCTATCTGATAAGCATTTGCTTATTGGATAGTCTAGTGCCCCCCCCCCTTGCTGCCTCTATCAGGAAGAGGCAGCAAGGCGGGGAAGAAGAGAGGTCACTTCAAAGCAGCAGTGCCATGTGGAGCCATGGGTCAGACTTCAACAGCTAGGGCTGTTGCTACACTTCAAAGGTGGAAGCGCCCTATTGACTAATCGAATAGTCGAAGCAAAATGCATTGACTATTTGATTAGTCAGTTACTTGACATTTAACTTCCCTAATCAGGACAGAGTAGAGGGGAAGAATGACTTCTCTTGTCTTGGTCACAACACTCCTGTTAATACATCCCAGAATCATGTTTGCTTTTTTGCAACAGTGTCACACTATTGACTCTCATTTGGTACACTATGACCCCTAAATCCCTTTCAGTAGGACTCCTGCCTAGACAATCACTTCCTATTCTGTATATGTGAAACTGATTGTTCCCTCCTAAGTGGAGTACTTTGCATTTGTCCTTATTAAACTTCATCCTATTTGCCTCAGACTATTTCTTTAGTTTGTCCAGATAATTTTGACTCTATCCTCCAAAGCACTTGCAACTCCTCGCAGCTTGGTATCATCTGCAAACTAATAATCGTACTCTCTATGCCATCATCAAAATCGTTGTGAAGATGTTGAACAGAACAGGTCCCAAAACAGACTCCTGCGGAGCCCCACTTGTTATGCCCTTCTGGCATGATTGTGAACCATTAATATCTACTCTCTGAGAGCGGTTATCCATCCATTCATGCACCCACCTTATAGCAGCCCCATCTAAGTTGTATTTGCCCAGTTTATTGATAAGAATATCATGCGAGACCAAATCAAATGCCTTACTAAAGTCTAGGTATACCACGTCCACCACTTCTCCCTTATCTACAAGACTTGTTATCCTATCAAAGAAAGCTATCAGATTGGTTTGACATGATTTGGTCTTTACAAATCCATGCTGGCTGTTAACTATCACCTTATTATCTTCAAGATGTTTGCAGATGAATTCCTTAGTTACTTGCTCCATTATCTTCCCTGGCACAGAAGTTAAACTGGCTGGTCTGTAGTTTCCTGTGTTTTCCTTATTTCCCTTTTTATAGATGGGCACTATATTTGTCCTTTTCCAGTTGATACCAAATCCAAATGAGATATTTGACACAATTTTTTACCAAGAGGATGGCTAACAATTGGAACAAAATTACACAGGGAAGCACTGGATTCTTGATGTTTTCAAATGATGCCTGAATGACTTTCTGAAATAAATGCTTTAGCCAGACCCAAATAATTAGGCTTACTGTAGGGGTAAGTGGATGAAATTTAATGCTCTGTGATAAAGAGAAGATTGGACTAGATATCTAATGGTTCCCTGCTGGCTTTAAACTCTATAATTTATTTTTTTTAAAAGATCAAATATTAGTGAAAAATGTTTTTGTTCTGTTTACCCCCAGGGCACACAACACATAGCAAATACACATGGTCCATGACTTCAGCTTCAACACAGCCAGAGTGTGTGCGTGTCTCGGGGCTGAGCATGGTATTAGGATGAGAAAGTGGCTTATTGGTGTGAGAAGGGAAACAAGCCACTCAAAACATTTCTAGATAGTGGGAGAGATTCTACTGCTGTTTATCAAGCACCATATGATGTCTGAATTAAGGATCTGTTGGCTTGTCTACATTAGGGATGTTTGCATGGCTGTAGTTACACCATTACAACCCTCCCAGGTCAGTTGTGCTGCACCAGAGAATATAAAAGGGTCTTACACTAATGGAACATACTCTGATTTCAAATTGGACTAAGCGTAGGCTTCTTTTTACAGCAGTGCTTCCATAGAGATTTGCTGCAGCATGGCAACATGGGTGCAAAACTTCCTAACACAGATCAGCCTGAGTTGCTGAAACTTCCTCCAGGGTCAAATACTTCCCCATAATTAGTGCATGGGGCCTTCCACCATTGGGAAGTGGCCCGGGCAACTGAATATGGCAGGTGGTCTTGGTTGGCTACAAACTCAGCATCCTACTACTTTAGTTGGGGAGAGGCGGAAGTGCAGCGTGCATGATTTCTGCAGCCTACATGGTTGTTTCTCACCCTACTCCCAGAGGTGCCCTGTGCTGTATCTGAGTGGAGCAACTGGAGCAGCTGTGCAGAGCCTTGTCAGGCAACGTACCGAGTTCGGAGGAGATATGTCGTGCAGGAGCCTAGAAATGGAGGCGAGACGTGTCCTCCTCTGGAGGAGAAGGCTGGATGCGTGGAGTACTGGAACCAGCAAGGAGCTGAGTGCAAACAGTCCCTTAGTAAGTACATTGAAAACACAACGGCTACGTCTACACTGGCCCCTAATCATGGAAAAGCTATGCAAAAGAGGTAAGTCAGGATAGGGAAATCCGTGGGGGATTTAAATATCCCCCGCGGATTTAAATAAACATGTCCGCCGCTTTTTTTCCGGCTTGGAGAAAAGCCGGAAAAAAAGCGTCTAGACTGGCGCGATCCTCCGGAATAAAGCCCTTTTCCGGAGGATCTCTTATTCCTACTGAGGCCAGTGTAGACAGGCAACATGAATTTCTTGCACAAGAAAGCCCTATGGCTAAAATGGTCATCAGAGCTTTCTTGTGCAAGAGAGCATCTACGCTGGCATGGATGCTCTTGCACAAAAGCACATCTCTTATGCAAAGGTACAGGCCAGTGTAGACGCTCTCTTCTGGAAGAGTTTTTGCACAAGAACTCTTCTGCAATAGAGTTCTTGCACAAAATCATGCCAGTGTAGACGTAGCCTAGGGATCTGATTCTGAGCTAATTTATGGATATAAATCTGGAGTAATTCCTGTGAAATTAATTGGGAAAAATTCTTGCAAGCAGGAGGGAATATTTGCCTTAGGTATAGAGCATTATATTTATAAATCAGCTACAAATGTCATGTAGGAATGGCACCCATCAGAGGAAAGGTAACACCAGACTCCAATCCAGTTTCTCTTTTGGTTTGGACACTGCATGTTAGTTTCGGATGTAAATCTGGAGTGAAACCTGGTTTCATCTCAAATACATCGACATTCCAGTAGCTCCACTGATGCTTCAGATTTTTTTGTTAGCGTCTCTGGGACCAGAATCTGGCCTTGACTTTTTTACTCACTTGGATTTATGAATTCAGGGTTATTTTAAATCAGCTTTCTCAAACCTGCTGATAGTTGGTATTAAATTAACCATGATTTTGTTCTCCTTTGGTTGCCACTGCTTTAATCAAATTAAAAAATAAATAAATACAAATTTGTAAGCCGCCTCAAATATTTTAAATAGAGAGGTGGGGTAAAAATATTTTAAATAAAAAAAATAATATTTACCTCAGGGTAGTTTAATCATCCCAGGGAGATTCGTCCCAGTGCAAGAATGATTTCTAATGGCAGAGAACTGAAGTGTAGTGGCTCTTGTGGTGTTTTATATCCCCTTTCCAGTGCATTAAAAATGAACTTGAGCAGGTCCTTAGTTGTGGTTTTGGACCCCAATATAAGCTAGAACAGCAGACCCTAGTGAGGAACCAGCTAGAGCAGAGCTGCATTAGAATCACAGAGCAGAGCCAAAAAGAGCTTTGAACATCAAATGCACATATCCAGTCTGGCTTCTCCATTATATAGTTTACTAGCACCCCACAATCTGGCTTTAAATTTTTAAAACTTTGCGGACTGAGACAAGACACCATTTTCAGTTCAGCTCAGTGCAGGCTATTAGCAGGGACACACACCTTGAATGCTCTCAGAAGTTTGGTTTCATTCAAGCTTGTTTTTGTTTTTTTTAGTTAATCTAAAATAAAGATAATTTAGGTTCATAGTATATGGTCTTCTTTGCATCTGGGGAAAAAAACCCAACATAGCATTCACCAGCAGCAGAACAGCACCCAAAGACTTCATAGTTTCAAAAATCATATTAAAACTCTGGGGGGACTTTGTTGTGGAAAGTCAGTCTAGCAGCTCCAGTTTACTCTTGTCTATGTTTAACATATACATGGGAAGTGCTTAAAACATGTAATTCCCATTTGTAAATTACCAAGTATGAGTGCGACCTATGTAAGGCACCAGTGTGAAGTCCTTCAACTGGTAAAAACCTCTCACATTAAAAAGAACTGTCAGCCAGTTATGGGTTGCCATGAGCTCTCCCTTGATACCTTGAAATCACAGTGGCAAAGCCAAACTTGCAAACCGAACCCAAAACACCAACAAACAACACATATCCCACCATCACTAGAACAACAACCACTCAATACAAACCATCTTGCTAAGGAACAATTTCTCATCTCCAATAATGCAGTTTTCATGAATGAGAAGTGGCTTTAAGTAAGGAGTGAACAAGTAACCTGGATGCCCAAATCTTGCATGGAACCTAATGGTGCTCACTACACATGAGGGTAGGATGTTTGTAGACCATTGACTTTAGTCTACTGTTGTATCTTTCACCAGTCCTAGGGACATCTGGCAGCCAGACTAGTGCCCAATGTAAATTAGAATAGCTCCAACTCTGCTCTAATGTGGTCTAGCTGCCTGTGGCTACAAGTTCACAAGGGTATTGGGGATTCCTAGACATATTTGCTTTTCTCCAGTCATTCCTCCTATGCTAGTACATGGAGGGGAATGTAAAAGTCAACTACAGGAATGATCTTTGATACCTGGAGCAACCCCATAGTGATTACCCCTGGGACAATGGGCAATGAACATAAAGATATCTCAATGTCCCTTGTCACTCATTCCCTTCTGCTATAAATACAGATTATGGTAGGAAAGGTACTAGAAACTAAAGGCAAATTTCATAATTATGCTTTTCTAAATTGTACCTGGACACAAGTGTATTTCTTCAGGCAGCTTTGTGGATAACAAATATACTATAACTAGAGATGGTCCCGATCCAGAATCCCCAACCTGAATGCCCTCAAACTATGACAAACTTCAGATCCCAAACTTGATCTCTGCTTTACTTAATTCGAACTAGGCGTTAGTCCTCGTGGAATGAGGTTTACCTAGTTCGAATTAAGCGCTCCGCTAGTCCGAATTAAGTTCAAACTGGCGGTTCGCGTGTGTAGCGCCTGTCAAAGTTAATTCAAACTAACGTCTGTTAGTTCGAATTAACTTTGTAGTGTAGACATACCCTCAGGTAGTAAAAAGAGATGAATATAAATTTCTCTCCAATCAAATACTGGATATTCACTAATAATACAGAATTGTCTTTGATTTTCTGCCAAAGTAAAAATTATGTGCTGTTAAAGACCATCAAAGCCCTGATCTTTACTGTTTGACAGGCACAAATGGCCTTAGTGCAGTAGTGTCACTTGCTACGTGTGCTGTTTCTTTTTGTGCACAGTTCCGGCATTAATAACCACAGGAGGTTATGGGAAAGCAAGGAAAAAGAGAGCTGCATCCAAGGAAAATGAAGGAGCGGGGTAAGTACGGGGCTGAGTGCTACAGGGTAATCACACATCCTACATTTTTTCTCATTGGCTTCAGTGTGTCCAGGATTGCTCCCAGGGTCTGTTCTTATCAGAGCAAATGTTCAACAGGATGAAGGCGTCTAATCTGTATCTGCACTGATTGCTAAGTCTGCTCTGTGACTGAGCCCAAGCCTTTTCTGATCCATATACAAATGAGGACCCAACTTCTGTGGCCTGGGTACGGGGGTGGGTCAAAATGTGAGTTCCACAATGACATTTTGCATTGTGGCCACAGGTCAAACCTTAGACCCAAGTCAGAAGGTTTGTGTGATGCAGTACGAACCCATTAGCATGGTTGTGAGACCCACAGGATCTGTAAGTGTGAACCCAGGTTTATAATTTAGTGTGGATACCGAAGTGTGAGCTTGGAAATAGTGATAAGTCCAGGTCCCACAAACCCTTAAATCCTGATTCCAGTGCAACACCAGCTTCACAACATAGAGGTCTTGACTCTGCTTGGAGAGTAAACCCATGGAGGTCAGTGGGGCTTCACAGCTGTAAAACTGGTTGTAGCTATTTAATGTAGTTGCTATTTAGAATATCATACGCAAAGATTAGTCATTTCAGCCTGTTCCTTTGACCTGTTTCTCTCTGTGTACAGTGCCTTTTTTTCCCATCATGTGGACTTGCTGGCGGGGTGGCTCTCAGTCTTGCTTTGTCTTTGCTTTTTTAAATTGTGCCAGGAATAGACTTCCAGCATAGACCGTGGCCTAAATATTCAGAAAAATGTGCTTGTGTATGCACTGTTACTGGGGCTGCACACAGTCATAGTTCTCTGAATAAATCAATTGCTGACATAGGAACTCATTATCTCAACCATATAGGCCCTTGATGCCTATTAATTGCTGTCAAAGACAAGTGCATTTGTGAACCCCTTGGTTTTTTTCCCATATGTATCTGTTTGTTTGTGTTTCTTGTTCACGGTTTAGCATTGATCTTTAGTTTTATAATGGGGTGGCCATTTACAGTGTGAACCATAATTATCCTCAGCATTAAAGGAAAAGCATGGTCTGTGGAGATTCCAGCTCCAGCATGCTGAGTCTCTAGTCTTTGTGAGCAGCACCTTTATATTAAAGATGAAGTCTGGTGCATCTGCCTGCATTTTATGCAAATTAGCTTTGACGTTGGGGATTCTGGTAACTGGGGACCAGCAGAGTAGAGTTTGGGTGTCCCTGCTGCGTAGGAGGCAGGTTATTGTACTAATCGATTAGGTTGCACCAAGAGCTGGAGGGAGATTCAGCTAATGTGTTTGGCCCCCTTAAGCTCCTGCCTCAAGTTCCCCTCCAGTGTCACATTTACATAGTGCAGTTACTGGCAAGTGTTAAGGTTCTGCTTCAGGCTCTGATTTGCACTAAGGATGTTAAGTAGCGTGTATTTCACTAATTGAATAGTTGATGCATATTTGTATTTTCTATTCGATTAGTCAATAGGGCGGTGCTGCCCCTTTGAAATGCCACCACGGCTACAGCACAAAAAAAGTAGGCCCATCCTCCTCATTTGCAGAGCCGTACAGCAACTTTCATCACTCCGTTTCCTGCTGGTAGGTGAGTGGTGGTGGTCGGTTCTGGTGGGCTGCTGCCCCTGTTGTGCTCTGATTGGAGTTGGGTGCATTGAGGTTGTCCCTACTGGGACAGCCTTACCGTGGCCCTGGTTCCCACTCTGGCAGAAGGCTGCATGGCCCATATGGTGGGTGGCTGCCCCAGCTTTCTCTGACTAGAGCTGGGGCATGGTGAGGTTGTCCCTGCCAGTTCCCTCTGAAACAATGCACAGCACAGGGTGATGTGGCACAAACCTCATATTACAAAGGAGCAACAGCCCATATCCAGTGGTCCTCTCATATTCTACAGTAGCCAGCTACATTAAAAGGTCCTAGCTTAAATACAGTGGCAGGGCCTCTTCCCTGGCCTGGCCTCAGTGTGGCTCAGCATAAGTGACTGAACAAAGGTTTATTTTTTCCTTCACATGGGCATCTCTCCAGTATACAGAACTGGGCTGACGGCAACAGTGCAATAAATTGGACCACTGGCTTTTATCACAAAATCTACAGAAAGAGTTTGGTCCTATTGTGCTATCATTTAAAAGCAAAGCTGCCCATTAAAATAAATGCTGAGATCTATTTAAAAGTCCATGGCAAGATATAGCCTGAAAGTAACTCAAAAGAACCAAACCCTTGTTCACATAAATCAGAAATGGAAAGCAAAATCAAGGAGTCCGAGGAGTGCTGAGGAGCGACTTTCAACAAAATATTTCACAAATGGGGCATAATCCTAGACTGCTGAGAAAACATCCAATTTCTGCAGCGGATGAAGAAAGGATCACTTTTCCAGGAGAGACTGTATATACTCTTTTGCATATCAAAAGACACCATATGGCGCCTGAAAATTTTCCATTAATTTAAAGTCATCCACCTTGTTAATTATCACTCGTGTTAGTATTCTTTCTTCCATAACATTTAAAAATATATATAAAAGATATTTGTTAGTAACTAGTGGGTACCACAGTGACACACATCCAAAGAAGTGCACACGACCTCAATATTGGAGCACAAGACAAAACTCACTCCGCTAACCGATGGAAAATCTTAGAGGGAACACTAGGCCATACCCATAATAAGTGGACATGTGGCTAACTAAAATCATGCCAGACCACAGATGTTGCCAGACCAGAGTTTGCTGGACTAGAGAGATTCAACATGTACGGTGAAAGAATATTATGAGATGTCTTGGTTTCCACTGAAGAATTACCATAAATAATCCAAACTGGGCAGTATGGTTCAATGGTCAGGGCTCTGTCCTGGGAATCAACAGATCTAAGTTCTATGTCTAGAGCTGCCATTTACTTGCTGTGTATCATTGATCAAGAACTTAATGCCTCTGTTTCTCTGTTTATAAAAAGGGGCATCATTCATACTTACCCTCCTTTGAGAAACACTTTGGTATCTGTGGGTCGAAAGCACTTAGATTAGAGCTGAGTGTTGTAATTCAGCCTAACTCACTGGAATAAATGCATATGGTTTTATGATGCACGTCCCTATTTTAAACATGGTCTTTGTTCGACCATTCTGCTCTGGGTCTCTAGGTCGCTGGTAGGTTTGTAACGCAGCTGTAGATCTAGCTGGGACTGTCATTTCTGCTGCAGCTTCAGGGGGTAGTGGAGTTAGTCTGTAACTGGAAAAACTTAAAAAACAACAAATAGTCCCGCAGCACCTTAGAGACTATCAAAACATGTAGATGGTATCATGAGCTTTTGTGGGCACAACCCACTTCTTTTTCTGCTGCAGGTATTGTGTCGAATTCCAGCTCATGGCCATCACAGAAGGCTGTTTGCAGGGAAACAGTTCCTATACTCAGTGGATGCGGTATCTCAGCAAAGGGCACACAGTCTGTGTGGAGTGCCAGCATCCAGCCCTGGATTCCAAAAGCCTGCACTGCTCTGGGGATGGCAGTGGAAGCAAAAAGTAAGAGCCCTGAATCCTGCTTTGTTAGTGTGTTTTTATGTTGGATTTTTCCTCCTCCTTGAGCTGCTTGGAGAGATTTGTCCCAGTTTAATAATACCCTGTGCTCACCTTGCACTGTATGTCTTCAGAGCTCTGTGCATATGCTAAGTGATCCTCATTGCACACTGTAAGTTAGATTGGTGATATTATAATCATTATTTTACAGGAGAGCGAGACTGAGATGAAAAGTCTGAGCCAAGGTTGCGTGGTGAGCCAGTGGCGGAGGCAGGATGAGAACTCAGTCTGCTAAATCGCACTGCCTCCTAATTTTAAGTAGCACAGTCATGATTTTTTTAAAGGCTCTCCTGTCATCTGGCCCAGTTGAATAGTCCTCCCACTGGCCAGCAAATAAAATCAAATCCATTTGCTGGCTGTCGCTGCTGTAAGAACAATGGGGAGGACCTATGGCTCATCTAAGCCTGTCCTGTGTTTCCAAAAGTGACCCAAACTGGGTGGTTCAGAGTATTGTATATCTGCCTCATCCCCTGCAATGTAAGCTTTGGTACTGAGGACTTGTAGCTAGTGTAACTGGAAATCAAAAAGTATCTCTGCATTATAGCACCTTTTACTGAGGAATCTCAAATTGCTTCTGCAAGTACTAACTGTGTTGTACAGATGGGCCAAAGGAGAGGAGAAGGGATTTACCCATGGCCACGCAGTCAGTGGAGGAATAGAGTTCTGATGCGCCACTCTTCTGCTGTAACCATTATACCACACTGCTCCTCCACTTTTCTCTCACTCAGTTCTCTTCATAATTATGTCTATCTAACAGGTGCAATTTAATTTTGTTTGTAACTTATTTAAAAAACCCACAAGGGAACTGCAAGGCAGTCTAGCACTAGAAATGGCAGGCCGGGGGGGGGGGGGGGGAGAGTTGCCTATAGGTCACTTTAATATTGAAATGAATAGGTTTGTTTTAAATACTAACCATAAACAAGGATTATGAGTCTTGAAAACATGCTATATATTACCCACCCACTACTACTGCCAGTAATAGCCTTTTTAGGTAGAGGCTGCCCATGGCTTTTAATGAGAACAAGTCATGTTAGATTATTTTCCTCCCCCTCTTCCCCTGCTTGTTAAGTATGAAGGTTGCAAAGATCTTTAGATAAAGAGCAGTGAACCCAACTGATGCTGCCAGAGGAGTCTAAAAAGTGTAATAAAATGTAAAAGCTTGAAATAATGTAGTTTTTTGGTGGAAACCCTAGGACCAGAAAGGAACATCAGACAAGGTGAAATGAAAAATATCTGCAGCCCACAGTTTCCTTCCAAGGGATATGGAAAGAGACCCTTCCTCCTTTACCAGGCAGTCTGGTGAATAGCATGATCTACACTGATAGCTTTATAGAATGGAGTGAAATTTTTTGAACAAATTATTCAAAGAAAAATATGGTTTTGGGTTGACAAGAACAATTGGCACATTTGGGACAAACTCAGTGAATAGATTGTCGGGGGAAGAAATCCAAAAAAACCCTTAAGTGTTTCATTTCAGTACTTCTGGTTGCCATCAAAGATTGTCTCTGTTAAAAATAAAAATGTAGCTTTCCTGAGATGTTAAGAGTCGAGTGAATAATTGATTTTTTTGCATAGATGGCCAAACAAACAAAAAAGTTGTTTTGGGTCAAATTCAATATTTAGTTCAACCCAAAATTACTTGTTTGTGTTACCTCTTTTGTTTTCAGGTGCTTTTTAATTTTTTAAGAAAGGTTGCTAAATTTCTAAATAAAGCGGAGTTAAAAGGAAAAAGTCAAAATGTTTCATTTCAAAAGTATTGAAATGAAACACTTCAATTTTTTGGATTTTTTTCTCCAGACAAAACTATTCACTGAGTTTGACCCAATAGTTCCAGTCAACCCAAAACCACATTTTTCTGTGTCAATCTAGCACCTTCCATCAGCCCTACGATCACTGTACCTTTTCTGACTATGGCTAAATTTCAAGCTTCCCGTCTGTCTGGCCAGCACCTTTTGTGCCAGTACTAAGGGTATGCGCCTAGAAGAGAACTAGGGTGCGAGTCCCAGGGATCATAGGCAGTGGTGAGTGGCAGCACAGGCTGGCTGTACTGAGTACCGGCCTGTCTGAACCCTTTGGGTGTGTACTTGGCATGGTGACCTTGTGCTGCTGCTGCCCAGGCTGCTGTGGCTTCGCTGCTCTTTTTAGCAAGCAAGTATATCTAATAATGTGAGTTGGGACTCGCAAAGGCTATGTCTGTACCAGCAGTTCTCCAACTATGGGTTGGGACCTCACTCTTTGGTGACTCCATTTTAATGGAGTCACCAGGACTGGCTTAGATTTGCCAGGGCCTCGGGTTGAAGCTGAATGCACACTTTAGCATTGGTCAACGGGGCTCAGGTTATAGGCCTCTTGCCTGGGGCTGAAGTCCTGGGGCTGTAGCTTTGGTCCCTGTACCTGGGGTGGTGGGACTCAGGCTTTGTCCCCCTACCTGGGGCAGTGGGGCATGGGCAGGTTCAGGTTTCGGTTCCCCCTTCTATGGTCATGTAGTAATTTTTATCCTCAGAAGGGGGTTATGGTGCAATGAAATTTGAGAACCCCTGATCTACACATAGGGGTAAGTATTTTAAAACATTTGTTTAAATGGAACATTTATCTAGTCAGTTCAGGATACACACATCCAGTAACTTGCTGGGAACATTCAGAAACTGGGAAAAAATAGTTCAGAAGGTGATGGTGATGTTTTAACTTTCCTGCTTAACAAACAGACCAGTACTGTATGGCTCTATGTAGCACAACATGTACATGTTCAATGTCTGTAGGGGACAATGGGAGCTCTGTCCAAGAAAGGGCAGGATACCGAAGGAGCTAGACAATTTTTTTTGCACAAAACATTTTTGGCAATGCCAGAATATTTCATGAATTCCTTGAAGATTTCACCACTTTGTTTTAATTGGAAACCTAAAAATAAAAAACAAATCAAAACATTTATTTTGCCATTTTTAAAACACAAACATTTGTGTTTTTCTTGTTTGAAATGTTTTGTTCAATTAATATTTTTAAAGACTAAAAATAATCAAAATTGAAACAAAACATTTTGTTTGAGCAGTAACAAATTAAAAAAAAATCTCTCCATCACTCAATTGCCAGTGAACCAAAAAATCCATTCTTCACAGGGGTCTGGTAGAGGCTGGCGACTGTGGATTGATGAGGTGATTTTTGTCTGTGGCTTGCAACTTATCAAATGCTTCAGTACAAGAGGACAAATTGTGATCTTATTTTACACTGATGTTACCCCATTGGTATCTGTAGAGTTGATCCAATTTACACCCGTGTGAGATCAGAATCAGGCCCAGTGGGTGCAAACTGATGTCAGAGACGGAAGCATCAGGATTTACTGGCTCTGAATTCAAACTATGGCTGTGGGAGTGGCTGCTTCTCCGGAGCAGCCAGCTTCCTGTCCGGCAGCCTTGCTGGAACCCGTGTCAATGATGGCACATGATGCACTTAGCTGCTGTCCTTGAAGGAATTAATGCACTAATCCCTTTCCTCCCACTTTTGCCTTGTTCCTTCCAGGAACCAGCTGCTGCACTGGCAGGCCATGGGGAATCCCTGGTGCAGAGGAACCTGGAGGAGAGTTCGCCAGCTGGACACTTGTTCCTGTCCTTCTGTTCACAGCTTCTTGTTCATCTGACTCTTCGGAACTGGCCTTCGCGCCCCTGAGCCTAAGTCATGTGATCATGGTTTGGCATGAAGTTTGAAAGTAACAGCCCCAGCTGACCTTCTGATCAGTCAGTAAAGCCCCTCATGGACTGCTTCACCTGCCGAAGCTGAAGCTAAAACCCCTTCATATCCACCCACACTCTGGGCTTGTTATGTCGTGGGGAGTTTCAGAGTATAGGAAGAAATCAGTGGAAAGGCAGAGAGCTGGAGTAGGTGCAAGTGTCCATTTTATTGCATAGCACAAAACTCACTAGAACAAGCCCAGACTAGCTGGGCTGACCCCAGTGACCTACTCAGTTACCATAACAACAAGATCTATATCTACAACCCAATATACAACAGGGCTCTCTGAAGAAGACTGGCTGACCAAGTCACTTTGTCTCTGTCCCCACGCTTCCTTCGATGAACGTCCTGAGCTTCAGAGCAGCCATGCTGACCTTGACCATGTCAGTTGTCTTCTCTTCTTCCAAGTCCCTCCTTCCCTGAGACTTGCCAGTGAGAGCCCACCAAATACAAGAATTCAAAAAAGAATTAACATATGTGTATTGTTAAAAAACCCAGCTAAGCAGCCAGCCAGAGACATGCAAAATGAGTCTGTTCAAACTGCCTTCTGTCCATATTGATAATAACCCATTGTCTGGAGGGCTAGCACCTCCCTCCCCCTCATGGTTTTGTTATTGAATGTGGGGTTCTTGGTCTCACATAAGGGCCAATTTTGTACCTCTTGAAATTTGGGGCAAAGCTCTGATTGCCTTCAATGAGAGAAGGTTTGTGTCCTTAGGGCTGATCCTGAAGGGTGCTTGGTGCCTTTTAGGTGTTATTGGGCACTCTGTTCACATTTAGGTATGTATTTATGAATGGGTTTAGATGACAGGGTTGCTTGCAGAAGCAAGGGGCTGGACTTGTTGACTCAGTCCTTTCAGTCCTATGTGGGTTTATGGCAAAGTTTCCATTTCAGGGTCAGGCCTGTTGAACTCAGTGGGAGCTGAGGCTTCCATAGAGCTTGGAGTCCTTTGATTTCAGGCTTCAAGGAAGATGCACCATGTTATATTAACTATCTGTGGAGCACTTAGAACACCTCTGGGGTGCATCTCATGTCACGGTTCCGTTTTCTTTGCACATTGAACTGTTTGAAGTATTTTCTTTATAATCAGTTTTGAAGCTTTCCTGTAGTGAATAAAGAGAATCTGGAGACATTTGAACAGTGCTTGTTTATATGAGTTGTCTTTATAGTGCCATCACTTGAGCTGCTGGTCATTCGGAGCTCAGTCCAGCCAATCTTGCTGACCCCTTTCCTGCCACAGGACAAGGACAGATATCTCCGATATCTCATCCCCTGGCCGTTTAGAACTTCAAAAAAGTGTCAAGCAAATATCTTGAGTGAAAGGCTCCCACAAGAGGGTATGACATCTTACATGTGCTTTGTTTTCAAATGTAGTTAATCAAAATAAAAACTGAAATAAATAAAATAGAAAAGCCCAGCTTTCTAGCATTGCCCTCAATAGAATCCCTCATTTGTCTAATCAGACTTGGTCAATCCTGTAACTCCCTCTGGGACTGACCTAAACTAGCTACATCAAGGTAAACACTACAGTGCCTTGTCCTCCTTGGGACTGATGTCAAGAAAACTGTCTCAGGGAAAATGCACGCCTGTTTCTTGCAGCGAAAACAAAGCTATTGATCTTTACCTCTGGGTCGATATGAAGCTTCTAACCTTTTTTCTTACTCTGGTCTTCATGATCTGCCTCCCAAGAGGCCGGTTTAGAGTCACTCAAACTGACATGAGGCATCATTTAGACTTCTCCACATTAGTGGTTTTTCCTTTGCCTTAAGAATTTACTCTGGTTACCTTCTTTGCGCCGCTGATGACACAATACATTCAGACCCTGCAGCAGGCCTCTACTTTTTAACTGTATATTACAGACTCTCCAAGTGCACTAATGTCTCCCAGTGAAATGACCTCATCTCAGAGAAGTGAGTCAGGAAAAAAAAAAGCGTATGCTTTGCTGTCTGACACAATCAGGGTATGTCTACACTAGCTACCCTAGTTCTGACTAGGGTGGCTAATGTAGTCATTCGAACTTGCAAATGAAGCCCGGGATTTAAATATCCCGGGCTTCATTTGCATGTTCCCGGGCGCTGCCATTTTTAAATGCCCAGTAGCTCGAACTACCTGCCCGCGGCTACACGTGGCACAGGCTAGGTAGTTCAAACTAAAGCTCCTAATTTGAACTACCGTTACTCTTCCTGCAATGAGGAGTAACGGTAGTTCGAATTAAGAGCTTTAGTTCAAACTATCTAGCCTGTGCCATGTGTAGCTACGGGCAAGTAGTTCAAACTACCGGGCATTTAAAAATGGCGGTGCCCGGGACCATGCAAATGAAGCCCAAGATATTTAAATCCCAGGCTTCATTTGCAAGTTCGAATGACTACATTAGCCACCCTAGTCCAAACTAGGGTGGCTTGTATAGTGTAGACATACCCTCAGTGAGTAACTGGCCTTTGTGGCTTCCTTAGAGATCCTTTCTGTCTTGTGAACAGATGGGATGTTACCACAGGAAGTGTGTCAATGTGTTGCAGAAAAGGGCAGCACCAGGCACTGATTTAAATACTGCCCCTGAGACACACACAAAGCAAATATTAAAAATGTGTGTGTGTGACAGAGAGAGGGAGACATATCCCATTAGCAGGAGAGGTTAATGGAGGCGATGGGCCAATTTTCCCCAGCAATGACAAATGAATCCCTGGTCCTGCCTGCTTCCCCCAGAGTCTTTGCCATCATCCATCATCATAACCTCTGCAACATCATAGAGCTTGGATCTAAGGGATGACAAAGCTACTGGAAAGCCCAGGCTAAATATTGCTGAAAAATGGCTTCAGACTGCAAAAAAAGACAGCCCGCTTTACATTGAGAAAAGGGCTGTTTGCTGGAGATGACAGTTGTTCCCATGGCAACACTGTGAGCCTTTCACTGTTGGGTATCAACAGGAAAACAGTTCCTGCAGTGAATGCATGAAACCAAGAGCCTTAGCCCCATAATTCATAAATCATCCTGTTGGTCAAGAACAATCGGGAACGGTTCCTTGTGTACACACACGAGGGGCTCATGGTTTAGCGTTTGGCCTTTGGAGCAGTGGATGACAGAAACCCCCAAGAGTTCAGGTAATTTATCAAAGTTAAAAATAAAAGCCTCAGTGACACCTTAAGATGTTTGATTAAAAACCATGTTCTCCTTTTTCCCTGCTTAATCTTCTGTGTCCCTGGGGCTGAGGGAAATGGGTAGGGTAAAGTGCTCAGTGCTTCAGTTAAAGGCAGAGAACACTTTTCCTCATTGAAAATTTCAGCTTTTCATCAAAAAGTGTAAACCAAAAAAAGTCCAGCTTTTGGCAACGAGAAACAAGAAATTTAAGACCAAAACTGGAAAGCATATGACCCAAACCTGGTTTTTTTCCTTATGGCTTTGGCTGGAAAAGATTAAATGTCAGGTCTTCGGTTTATCAGTGAAATCCTAAACATTTTCAAAAGAAGCAGTCCATCTACACGAAGACTTGAATTTAATTGAAAACCCAATTCTCTGGCAAATGAATGTTGAGATGGAACATGTTTGAGCAGTTCTGGCATGGAGCTGTTGTACAGGGAGAAGAGCAGCATGACCCTTCCCCCATGGAAACCCCAAAACATGAGAAACTCAGCTAGTTTGGGGTATGAACATGGAAAGTGAACTGAACTGAGCAACACTTTCGTGGGCTCATAATTCTTCAGCAGAAACAGGGATGGACCAGTTAAGAGTATTTTTAATGCTCGCAGTATTGTGGCTTCTCTGATAAGGGCCTAAATCAGGGGAGGGCAATAATTTTTTATGGGGGGGACGACTCCAAGAATTTGGAAAGTGGTCGAGGGCTACACTCTTCCATGATATTAATGTAGGAGGTGCAGGATCTTGATGGAGGTTGGGTGCAGAACGGAGTTTGGGTAAGGGAGTGGAGTGCAGGAAGGAGAGTGGATTCTGAGAGGGAGTTTGGGTGAACGAGGCAGTTGTGACATCCGGCAGGAGACCGGAGGGGGGGGGGCAGGATTTTGGAACGTGACCTAGGACAGCTGACTGGGGGATTCAGGGGTTTTCTTTGTGACCTAGGGGATGGGACCGGGGTGCAGGGACTTTGGGTTGTAACCTAGGGTAGGAGGGGATTGTGATCTGGGGCAGGGGACTGGGGCGCCAGATATGGGAGGAGGTATGGGTGCAGGATGGGGGAAAAGGGTTTGGTTATGTTGAGTGGGGAGTGGCAGAGGGTTGGGGAAGGGAGGGATTGGGGTGCCAGAGGCAGGCTCTGGCCAAGAGACTTGCCAGCCAGCAGCCTGGCCAGCATGCCTGCAGAGCAAAATGCTTGCAGAGTGTAAAAAGTTTCTCTGCCTGCACAGGTTGCACGGCCATGTGCTTGTGTGAATAACTGAGCCGGAGGGGAGGGAGGCATGGTGTTTTGTGTGCTGCCTGTTATTTAAACAGGCAGCTCCCATTAGCCAGTATTTGATCTGATGACTTCACGCAGCAGTGAGCTCCAGAGGTCACACATGTTTTGGATAAAGAAGGATAATGTTTTCCATTGCAAGTTGTAAAATTTATCACCTCTTTAATTCCATGAAGTGCCCACTTCTGAGTCACCAGGAAAAAAATGCTGTTTCTCCAACCAGGTCTTACCTCTGCTGAGGGCACTGTTTTCGTGTGTGTGTGTGTGTGTGTGTGTGTGTGTGTGTGTGTGTGTGTGTGTGTCCGTCCCAAGCAAACATAACTCCTGGTTCCCTACTGGGAAATAACTCATTGCACTGTAGTTGCTACCTCTGGCAGCATTAGAATTGCATTCTGCTGCATTTCTCTGCCAGATGTACCTGGCTAGGGATGGGTTCCACATGGTGAAAGTGCTAAGCACCTCAGCCCTTAGCATTCTGATTACTAATCGTGTCGCCCCATTGTAGGAACAAAGCCATACATTCATTTTCCGCAGGCAGAAGAGCTGAAATATTTCCAAGAAAAGCAGCACTATTTGTCACGCTGGGCAAACTGGACAGTCTCAACTGTACAGTGCGCTGCAGGTCTGAGGGTGAATCTGTGATGGGTTGGATCATAGAAGTCCCCTTGGGGCTGTCACCCGGTGTACTAATCAAGCGACTGAGCCCACCTATCTGCCCTTTGGGGCTATGCTCCACCCTGTCCTGCCAGGCCAAAAGCTCTGGTCTCCCCCAGCCTAGGCTCAGAGTTGGGGTAATGAGACAACAGGACATCTGGGATCCAGGACGTCACAGGACTAGCAAGATACAGGTGCGTGCACACACACAGACACCTGTGGGGGTACAAACAGTGAATGAAGAGGAGAGTGAAAATGCTTTTAGTCTTTTTTTCTGCCCTTAGTAGTTAAATCAAACCTCGGGGGAGAGTAGTCAATGGGCCCCCAGGTACACACACAAGCTGCACCCCCGTGGACTTGGTCTCCCTCACCATTTGGGCAGTGCTGCACCTACAGTGAGTTGCATCCAGTGAATTGCTGGCTGTGCTGTAGGACATACTCTTCCAGCATATTCGGGGGTTCCACATGCCCACCCGGTAGGGTTGCCAGCTGTCTAATAGCACAAACCCAAAGCCCCTTGCCTCACCCCCTCCCTGCATCTATGCTCCTGTCCTTTCTCCGGGGCAGGCTCCGGGACAGAGTTTGGGTGAGGGCTGCAGGCTCTGGCCCGGAGCTGGGGATTGGGGTGCAGAAGGCTGGTGTTTACCTTGGGTGGCTTGTGAGAGCAACCAGAACACTCCTCTGGCAGCACCTCCCAGGCTCGGGGATGAGATGGAGGTGTCTCTCTGTGCTGCTGCAGACACCCGCTCCATAGCCCTCATTGCCCACAGTTTCAGTTAATGGGCGCTGTGGAGCTGGCAATGGGGGCCGAGCAGTGCACTGAACCTCCCCCCCCGACAAGGGGCTTAGGGAGGTGCTGGCTGCTGCTGGGAGTGATGTAGAGCAAGGGTTGGCAGGAAGCCAGCCTGAGCTGTGCTGTCTGGGCCCCCTGGCCCCTTTTAAACCACCCAGGCTCCTGGGCAATTGCACTCTCCCCCGTCAGGCAGGTACAAGAATGTGAAGAAAAGTCGTCTTGGTGCTGTACTGTTCTCTGAGGCAGGAAATGAGCAGGCAGAACAAACAAACCTAATGGGGAATTTGCA